ATGGCCACTGAGTATTATCAGAGTGTCCGAGGAAGGTCCCAGCTGGAGCCAGCACTGATCTCCGGCCTGCCAAAGAGCCTCATTCTCAGAGCTCAGAACCACCACAGAACACAAGGTCCCAGAGGTGAGCCTGGGTAAGCTCCCAAGAGAAGCAGAGAGCAACATCTCAGAGGCGGAGCTATGGTTCAGAGCCAACCTCAAGGACAGTAGTAGACCTGGCCCATTCCCAAGGCTGTCCTTGCCATAGCTTAAAAAGTGTGGGTTCGTCCTTGACTGAAGAGCTCCCATTTTGGATCTGCACCCAAACAGCCCCTCAGGGAATTGGCCTCCCACTAGCCCAGGGCAGCGTCAAATAGGCTTCAGCTTCACTTCCTGCATGGGGATAGTGGTCAACAGCCAGGTAGGTCGCCCTGCTGCAAATTTCTAAGCAGCTGTCATTTTGTGCCTGGGATGTCTGAGGCAGCAGAGGCGTGCACATCTTGGGTTGTGGGGGTGGATCAGCCAAGGCTTAGCCTAGCCTGTCCATAGCAGTGCCAAGATAAAAAAAAGGAAAAATCCTGCTTTAGAGAGAACAAGGAAGTCATTTGTTCTGAGCCGAATGACCATCACACAGGAACACGGATTCAAAATTATCATTTATACTGATGGACGTGTCCCCTCTGTGGAAGTTACATAAATAACTTTATAGTCACAGAAGTGAATCAAATGTGGATTTATCCGATAGGTATAGAGAATATATAGGTATATATAGAAGGCATATATATATATATATGCATATATAGAAGAATCTCTTCCATAGGGTTCAGAAGCTAGGCATCTTCTGGGATCTCCATAGAACCTAAGACGTTTTGTGGAGTTGTTTATTTGAGGCAGGATTTCCTAGGCTGGACTCAGTCAAATTCACTGTGTAGCTGGGGCTGGCCTCAGTCAAGTTCACTGTGTAGCTGGGGCTGGCCTCAGTCAAGTTCACTGTGTAGCTGAGGCTGCCCTCAGTCAAGTTCACTGTGTAGCTGAGGCTGGCCTCAGTCAAGTTCACTGTGTAGCTGACTGAGGCTGCCCTCAGACAAGTTCACTGTGTAGCTGAGGCTGCCCTCAGTCAAGTTCACTGTGTAGCTGGGGCTGGCCTCAGTCAAGTTCACTGTGTAGCTGGGGCTGGCCTCAGTCAAGTTCACTGTGTAGCTGAGGCTGCCCTCAGACAAGTTTACTGTGTAGTTGAGGCTGGCCTTCAACTCTTGATCCTCTCACATGTATTTCCTGAGTTCTGGAATACTTGGCCTTGTAATTCTTTCTAGTAAGGAAAATGTTGGATACAGAGTTGATACTATTAAAAGGGCCTAGAGATAGACTACAATAGCTGGCTCAAAAGAGCCTGCAAGACTTCACCCATCAGTCTTGGTCTAAGGCTCTGTGGGCTCTTGAAAACCCAATTGGCAGAGTGCCTAATATGTATGCATGAAGCCCTGAGTTTGATCTCCAGTCCTGCATAAAACCAGGCACAGTGGTGCGTGTCTCCAATCCCTGCACTTGGGAAGCTAAAGGCAGGAAGATCAAGAGTCTAAGAACACTCTAAGTTAGTAAGTTCAAGACCAGCCTAGCCACAGTGAGTCCCTGTCCCAAGGAAACATCATTACAGGGCCAGCAAGATGGCAGGTGAAGACACTGCTGCCTAACCTGAAGCAGAGCTCAGCCCAGGAATCTGCATGGCAGCGGGAGAGACCCCAGGTTGTCCTCTGACCTTCATAGGTGCTCCGTCACGTGTGTGTGTGTGTGTGTGTGTGTGTGTGTTTGTGCGCGCGTGCGCACACGCAAGCTCACCTTACACATAAATAAATAAATGCAATAAAAGATTAAAACCCATTGTATTGCAGATTGAAAAGCAAGAGGACAGATCAGCCAAGCATCTAGTGGGTGGTGGGGCTGGGAACCCTGAACACTCCCGACTGTTCTTGGTAATAATCTGTGGATTATTCTCGAACTTTCTCTTTTTTCATCGAAAGATCCTGTCATTGGAAGGGAACCCAACAGTCCAATAACAGAAGTAAGAAGCATACAATTTTCTCTAGCTGAAGGAAAAAGGTCATATTCCCCACAAGTCAAGATGCCCACATCCTGGAGGTCCCCAAAGAGTAGTGGGAGCAGAGAGAATGGCCTGGCCAGCCCCTCTCCTGCAGATGAAAAAAAAAACAGGCTGTGATAACAGCTCAGTGAAGAGTCACCTTTCTGCACACCGGTCACAGGGAACACATTCACGTGCAAATCTCACAGCTTTCCCAAAGGACAGTGAGGGTAGAGGGTGGATACTGTACCTCTTCATATACATACATACATATATATATATGATACACACATATATAATCATTTTACTGTGTTTGGGAGAGGTACGTGTGTACCACACACATATGGAACATGGAAGTGAGTTGAGTTTGTGGAAATCATCTATCTCTCTCCACTTTGTGGTTCCCTGGGATTGAACTCAGGCTGTCAGGCTTGGCAGCAAGTGCTTTTTTCCCAGTGAGCTACCTCACTAATCATTTTGCACCCCCTGGAATACCAACATGCACTTCTGTCTCTCTGAGCGGTCACACATGAAGCCTTGTCTGATGATACCACTGAAATCAGCACAGTCCTTATATTCACGCCTGGAATCTGTCTCATTCAGATGCATGCATCCTGAAGAGGGTTAGGGTTGTGGTGGAGGGAGGGAAGAAGGGAGGGAGGGAGGGAAGGAGTGAGGGAGGGAGGTAGGGAGGGAGAGAAATAACAGGGAGCCTCCTGAATGAGGAGCAGATGATAGTCTTTTTGCTTAGCACTTTTACTTCTGGGTAGGACAGGACAACCAGAAGATCACAACAAGCTGCTGGCAGGATTCCAGTGAGTCTTGAAGAGGTCCTGGTCTGGGTCTCCCAGCCAGACCAGGGGAGCAAGCTGAGAACCCCTGGGAAAGGGAGAGGCAATGGGATGGAGTTGTGGCGTTTGGCAGTCTCCCTACTGGGTGACTAGAGTGGATGGAGCCCATGGAGGAGAGCCTGAGCCATACTATGTGTGTGAGTAATAGAGATAATGTCTAGGTGCAGCTTGCAGCAGGGGATGCTGGGAAGTAAAGAGAAGAGTCAGAAATCATCTCCCAGTTGTTTTTTTTTTGGGGGGGGAAGAAGGAGTAGATACTTAGACCTCAAACTGCATGTTCTACTTAAGAAGCCATGGACGAGCCGGGTATTGGTGGTGCACGCCTTTAATCCCAGCACTCGGGAGGCAGAGGCAGGCGGATTTCTGTGAGTTCGAGGCCAGCCTGGTCTACGGAGCGAGTTCCAGGACAGCCTCCAAAACAATACAGAGAAACCCTGTCTCGAAAACAAACAAAACAAAACAACCCAAAAAAGAAGCCATGGAGTTGCCTAGAAACACGCATGGAAGGCTGGGGATGTGGTTCAATTGACAGAGCACTTGCCTGGTATGATGAACCCCTGGGCACCGCCTACACTAGGTATGACCATGGACACCTGTGACGGGCAGGTAGAAGGAAAGGGTGTTTACCATCGTCCTCAGCTACACAGTGACTTTAAAGCAAACCTGAGTTATACGAGATTCTGTCTCAAATGGCGGGAAAAAAGATAGATGAATGTGTGATAAATAGTTTTGCAAAAGAGCATTAAACTAATGGAGGCCATAGGCAGACTCAAGCATATTCCCTCAATTGCTCTCCCTCTTATTTCTTGAGACAGGATCTCTCACTGAGCCTACGAGTGGTAACTCAGCTCCCTGGACCGTCCAGCAAACCTGGTGTCTCCACCCCACCAGCGCCGGGATTACAGCTGCATGGCACTGGGCCAGCTTTGCTTTTTTATGTGGGTGCTGGGAACCAAACTCAGGTCCGAGTGCGTATGTAGCAAGCACTTTACAGCTGAGCCACACGTTGTAACTCACTGACAACCTATGAGAGTCAAGAGATTTTCTTTACAGACGTGGGACTCGCAAGCCTCACTTGGGCAGAATCCTCATTTTTCCAGTCTCCACCATTTCCTGATGCATTCCACCCAGCTGGATTCTCTTACGTGTGTCGTGTCTCTGTGGGTATTTGAGTTTGGGATTTCAATGGGAGATAAGGAACATTCTCTCCAGAGGCAACTCATCCTTTTAAAAACAGGTTTTAGGCTGGGCAGTGGTGGTGTACACCTTTAATCCCAGCACTCGGGAGGCAGAGGCAGGTGGATCTCTGTGAGTTCCAGGTCAGCCTGTTCTACATAACGAGTTCTAGGACAGGTTCTAAAGCTACAGATAAACCATATCTTGAAAAAACAACAACAAAAAAGCAAAAAAAGATTTTAATACATTCTTTTAAAATTTCATATCTTGATTATATCAACTCATTTCCCCCTCCATCTCCCTCCCAGAACCACCCCCATCTTCCTCACAACTTCATGTCTTTTTTCTTTTATAACTGTTCATTTATTCTGACCTATTAAGTCATATTAGTGCTACCCATATGTACATGGTTCTGGTGCCATCACTACAGGGGTGTGACAAACCTATCAGTCACCATATCTCGAAGAAAAGAGACTGGCCAACATAAACTACCGTTAACTCCTCAGGTAGAGGTGGGTGGGATCCCGGGAGTCCCTCCCACCCATGCCGAAATTACACCCGGCTTGCGTAGGTCACCACAGCTGCGGTAGGTTTGCAGTGTGACAGCCATGTCATGGTCAGGGACAGCCTTTGGGAGCACCCCTTCTCTATCCTCTGGGCTCCTACATCCTTTTGTCCCCTTTTCCATGGTGTTTCCTGACAACTGAGAGAGAGTTGATATAAGACGTCCCACGTATGGCTGGGCGCTCACGGCCACTTATCCCCAGTGCTTCCAATTAAATGGCATCTCTGCATTCAGCTCTCCGCTGCAGCAAGAAGTGTCGTTGACCGAAGCTAAGACCGGAAATGCCTCACCTCTTTTTTTCTCCCTTTCCTCCCAGGTCCTTGCTATGGTTGCCTGTTCTCTCTGCGCACTCTCCCTTGTGCCGATTTTCCGGTGACAAGCCATGGCCAACCTCTCTGCAGTGTCTGTGTTCATTCTCCAGGGCTTCTCCACCGTCCCCGCGTTACAGCTGCTGAGCACTGGCGCCTTCCTTCTCGTATACCTGGCTGCGGTTCTGGGGAATGTCTCCATCGTGGTAGCCGTGACGTCCAACGCCCGCCTGCACACCCCCATGTACTTCTTCGTCAAACACCTCTCCCTGGCGGATCTCTGTTCTACAACCACCACCCTGCCCAGGGCCCTGGTGGCTACCATGGCAGACACTAAGGAGATTTCCCTCCCGGCCTGCGTGTCCCAGCTCTTCGCTTTTGTCTGCTTCGGCTCCCTCGAATGTTTCCTCATCACCTCCATGGCTTTTGATCGCTGTCTAGCCATCTACAGGCCCCTGGTGTATGGGGCCACCATGGATGCTCAGACTTGCGTCTCCCTGGTAGCGGTGGCCTGGGTCAGCGGGCTCCTCTTTTCCGCCTTCCACACGGCCAACACTTTCTCCTTGCCATTCTGTGGCCCCGGGGTGATCGACCACTTCTTCTGTGACATCCCCCCGCTCATGCATCTGGCCTGTGGTGACAGCGCGGGCCGCGAGGCCGTGGGCTTTGCAGTCAGCGGCTGCATCATCATGACCTGCTTCGCCCTCACCTGCCTGTCCTACGCTCTCATCGTGCGCACGGTGGCCCGCATCCGATCCTCGGCGGGCCGCTGGAAGGCCTTCTCCACGTGCTCCTCCCACCTGGCCACGGTGCTCCTGCTTTACAGCACAGGAAGTTCCGCTTACATGCAGCCCGCCGCCCACTACTCCCCTCTCCAAGGGCGCGTGGCTGCCGTGTTCTACTCTGTCCTGGCGCCCGCACTGAACCCACTTATCTACAGCCTGAGGAACAAGGACATGAAAGACGCTCTGAAGAAGGTCTACCCACAGGTGCCACCTTGGAACCTGGCATTTAGACACGGGGATGGCCAGAAGCCTACTAGCACCAAATTCCCCCTGTAGCCACGCAGAGACCATCAGAAAGGCCACCGTTGCTGTCGAAAATAGTTATCGGCCATTTGGGTTGCTTTTTGTGTGTGTGTGTGTGTGTGTGTGTGTGTGTGTGTGTGTGTGTGTGTGTGTGTGTGCCACGTGTCCATTGGTTGTTTTATTTCCTTGGCCGTCCACCTTCTAGTGTCACATTTCCTCCAGACTGAAACGTGTAAACTCAGGAGATTCACCAAGGCCCTTGCCAGAGGTTACACAAATGGTAAACCTTGCACTGGGGCCTCCAGCAACAGCTTTCCTGAGACACTGCCCATGCTTGAGGGAAGCTGCCCAAGCCACTCACATTCCCCTATGTAACACCACAACCATGATGCTCTAATTCAGTCCAATAAACCCATTGGTCGCCAAGTGAGACTTGGAAGGGAATCATTGCTTTGTCCTTCACTGCCCTGACCTGGGTGAGCAGGCATCTCTGTGCCTCTTCCTAGGAAAAAATGATGCACTAGATATTCATATATTTTAAAAAATAACTAGCTCCCTGATTTTGTAAAAGGGGTTGTGGCTGGCTTAAAGCATGCAGTGGGGTCTACTGAGGAATGCTTATTAGGTATTTAAATATCTGGATTCCCTGGCAATGCCAAAGTAGCCCTATTCCTGAGACGTTTGGGGTTTCAAAAATGAGAAATGTAAGGGAGAGCTTGCTTTATAAGAACCACACACTGGGGCTGGAGAGATGGCTCAGCAGGGAAGGTCATTTGGTGCTCTCCCAGAGCACCAGAGTTTGAGTTCCAGCACCCACAATCAGGCAGCTCACAACAGTCATAACTCTAGATCTAGGGGATCCGATGCCCTCTTCTGACCTCTACAGGTACTGCAGTCAGGTACAGAAACACCCCCACACACACACACATTCAGTTCATACAGAAACATACATATACACGTAAATATGAATTCTTTAAAAAGATACACACCTAGGGGAAAAGACTGGAGGGATAGCTAAGAAACATATGTGACCATATAAGGTGAAACACACATAGGAAAGCTGGACCACATACAAGGTTAATGTCCTATCCCTAGTGCTGAGACTAAATGTAACCATGTTAGTAACCAACCAGACAATTTGGCTTGGCAGGTAAAAGTGTTGGCTGCCAACCCCTGGCAACTCAAGTTCAAATCACAGGACACACAAGGTGGGTGGAGAAGTGAGCCCTGAACATTTCCCCCTCACATGCACACACGTGGCTTCACACAAATAAACACACAGAGAGACACTATACACAGGTGCAGAATGTACCGCAACAAACCAAAAGGCATTTTAATTAGATTTTAATGTGGACTAACAATCACAGCCATCATATCTTTATTTATTTATTTATTTATTTATTTTCCGTCTATGGTTTGGCTCTTTTTTTTTTTAAGTTTAAATTTAGATTAGAAACAAGGTTGCTTCACATGTCAGTTCCAGGTACCTCTCCGTTTCCCTGCCCTCCTCCCGTGCCCTCCCACCAAGCCCCCAATATCCCCTCATTTCCCCAGGGAGGGTGAGGCCTCCATGGGGGTGTCCATAGTCTGTCATTTCATCCAGGACAGGGCCTAGACCCTACCCCAAGAGTTCAGGGTGAGAGTGCATCTCACATGGTTGGATGGGAGTCCAAAGTCCATGTGTATACTCAGGATGAATACTGACCTACTACCCAAGGCTCAATAGATTACCTAGGCCTCCTCACTGACACCCACATTCAGGGTGTCTTGATCAGTCCCATGCTGGATTCCCAGGCTGATGCCTGGGATTCAAGAGTTAACCCTTGTCAGGTCAGCTGTTTCTGGGGTTAAACCAGCCCAGTCTTAATCCCTTTGATCATCAGTCCTCCCTCTCTGCCACTGGATTTCTTGAGTTCAGCTCAGTGCTTAGCCATGAGTGTCTGCCTCTTCTTCCATCAGCCACTGAATGAAGGTTCTGTTTCCCAGACTCTCTGGCCATGGGATTGTAGGCTGGCACTCCCCAGATCTATGTCTAAAATCCATATATGAGAGAGTACATGCCATGTTTCTCTTTTTGTGACTGCGTTACCTCACTCAGGATGGTTTCTTCTAGTGTCATCCATTTGCCTGCGAATCTCAGGATTCCATTGTTTTTTTCTGCTGAATAGTACTCCATTGTGTAAATGTACCACATTTTCTATATCCACTCTTCAGTTGAGGGGCATCTAGGTTGCTTCCAAGTTCTGGCTATTACAAATAATGCTGCTATGAACATAGTGGAACAGACATCCTTGTTGTATGAATGGGCATCTTTTGGATATATGCCTAAGAGTGGAGTTTCTGGGTCTTGTGGTAGGTTTATTCCCATTTTTCTGAGGAATCTCCATACTGATTTCCAAAGTGGCTGACCAGCAATGGAGGAGTGTTCCCCTTTCACCACATCCTCTCCAGCATAAATTGTCATTGGTGTTTTTGATTTTAGCCATTCTGACAGGAGTGAGATGATATCTCAGAGTTGTTTTGATTTGCATTTCCCGGATGGCTAAGGATGTTGAGCACTTTCTCAAGTGCCTCTCAGCCATTTTAGACTCCTCTATTGAAAATTCTCTATTTAGTTCTGCAGCCCACTTTTTAATTGGATCCTTTGGTGTTTTGGAGACTTGCTTCTTGAGTTCTTTGTAAATTTTGGAGATCAACCCTCTGTCAGATGTGGGATCAGTGAATATTTTTTCCCATTCTCTGGGCTGCCTTTTTGTCTTGCTGTGTCCTTTGCTTTACAGAAGCTTCTCATTTTCAGGAGGTCCCATTTATTAATTGTGGATCTCACTGTCTGTGCTACTGGTGTTATGTTCAGGAAGCTGTCTCCTGTACCAATTCGTTCAAGGGTACCACCCAATTTCTCTTCTAAGAGGTTCAGTGTGTTTGGATTTATGATGAGATCTTTGATCCATTTGGACTTAAGTTTTGTGCATGGTGATAAACATGGATCGATCCGTATTCTTCTACATGCCAGCCTCCAGTTATGCCAGCACCATTTGTTGAAAATGCTTTCTTTATTCCATTGTATATTTTTAGCTTCTTTGTCAAAGATCAGATGTTCATACGTGTGTGGGTTAATATCAGGGTTTTCAATTCGATTCCATTGGTCTACCTGTCTATTTTTGTGCCAATATCAAGCTGTTTTCAGGACTATAGCTCTGTAATAGAGCTTGAGGTCAGGGATGGTGATGCCTCTGGACGTTGCCTTGTTGAACAGGGTTGTTTTGGCTATCCTGGGTCTTTTGTTTTTCCATACAAAATTGATTATTGTTCTTTCAAGGTCTGTGAAGAATTGTGCTGGGATTTTAATTGGGATTGCATTGAATCTGTAGATTGCTTTTGGCAGGATTGCCATTTTTACTACATTGATCCTACCTATCCAAGAGCATGGGACATCTTTCCATTTTCTGAGGGCTTCTTTAATTTCTTTCTTTAAAGATTCAAAGTTCTTGTGATACGGGCCTTTCACTTGTTTGGTTAGCGTTACCCCAAGGTATTTTATGTTGTTTGTGGCAATTGTAAAGGGTGATGTTTCTCTGATTTCTTTCTCAGCCCTTTTATCATCTGTATATAGTAGGGCTACTGATTTACTTGAGTTGATCTTGTAGCCTGCCACTTTGCTGAAGGTGTTAATGAGCTGTAAGAGTTCCCTGGTAGCTGGGCGGTGGTGGTGCAAGCCTTTAATCCCAGCACTCTGGAGGCGGATCTCTGTGAGTTCGAGGCCAGGCCGACCAACAGCCTCCAAAACAATACAGAGAAACCCTGTCTCATAAAACCAAAAAAAAAAAGTGTTCCCTGGTAGTGTTCTTTGGGTCATTTATGAAAACTATTATATCATCTGCAAATAGTGAAAGTTTGACCTCTTCCTTCCCAATTTGTATCCCCTTGATCCCCTTTTGTTGTCGTATGGCCTTGGCTAGAACTTCAAGTACAATGTTGAAAAGGTATAGAGAGAGTGGACAGCCTTGTCTTGTTCCTGATTTTAGAGGAATTGTGTTGAGTTTCTGTCCATTTAGTTTTATGTTGGCTGTTAGTTTACCGTATATAGCTTTTATTATGTTTATGTATGTTCCTGTTATCCCACATCTCTCCAAGACCTTTATCATGAAGGGGTGTTGGATTTTGTCAAAGGCTTTTTCAGCATCTAGTGAAATGATCATGTGATTTTTGTTTTTCAGCTTGTTTATATGGTGGATTACATTGATGGATTTTCATATGTTGAACCATCCCTGCATCCCTGGGATGAAACCTACTTGATCGTGGTGAATGATTGTTTTGATGTGTTCTTGGATCTGATTTGCCAGTATTTTATTGAGTATTTTTGCATCAATGTTCATGAGGGATATTGGTCTGAAGTTCTCTTTCTTAGTTGTATCTTTGTGTGGCTTGGGGATCAAGGTTATTGAAGCCTCATAGAAAGAGTTTGGCAAAGACCCTTCTGCTTCTATTGTGTGGAATACTTTGAGAAGAATTGGTATAAGCTGTTCTTTGAATTTCTGGTAGAATTCTGCACTGAGGCCATCTGGACCTGGGCTTTTTTTGGTTGGGAGACTTTTGATGACTGCTTCTATTTCCATAGGGGTTATAGGTCTATTTAAATTGCTTATCTGTTCTTGATTTAGTTTTGGCAAGTGATAGCTGTCCAGGAAGTCATCCATTTCCTTTAAATTTTCGAATTTTGTGGAGTACAGGTTTTCAAAGTATGACCTGATGATTCTCTGAATTTCCTCAGAGTCTGTTGTTATGTCCCCCTTTTCATTTCTGATTTTGTTAATTTGCATGTTCACACTCTGCTGTTTGGTTAGTTTGGACAAAGGTTTGTCTATCTTGTTGATTTTTCTCAAAGAACCAACTCTTCGTTGCATTGATTTTTGTCAGTGTTTTCCTAGTTTCTACTTTGTTGATTTCAGCCCTCAATTTGATTATTTCCTGGCGTCTACTCCTCCTGGGGGAGTTTGCTTCTTTGTGTTCTAGAGCTTTCAGCTGTGCTGTTA